AAAATATATCATATAACATAACATTTTAATTGACTGCTGCAACCAATTAAAAATGTCATATTCTGTCAATCTTTTCTTTCAGTGTACATTTATTGTATATCTACTTAGTATATGAATATATTGCCTTTATTTAAATTGATTCAACTGATTTTATTCAATTCTATATTAATGTAAAAAAGAATATGTTGCAATGCTAATTATTTTGAAAAAAAGTTTATATACGTATTTATTAAGTTTATTTATTTTTATATTTTTTAAATTTATTTTTTGTATATTATTTTCTTCTTAGGTACATTTTCAATATTACTTTTATTGAACTTTTTTTCTGCCGAGTGCGTTATTGTTACGATTGTTGATTTAATTATTTTGTTGCCAACGAGCACCGCGACGAATTTAAAAGTTAAATTGTATGCAATTGACGTTGACGTGCATTCGATAAGCGCGCATTCGTTAAGCGGATATTTAAATATAATACATTGACTATGTTTAAGTGGACTTATGAATTGGCCAAGTAAATATATATTTTTTTCAAATACGTGACATTAATTATCGATAGCAATTTTTTTAGTCTCGATAATGCCGTGCACTGACCGAAGTGGTGACCATTCTTCTGAAGGTTGTTCTAACAATAGCGCATATCAGTGCGGTGAAAACTGATTAAAAAAATCGCTCGATATACGCAAGCCAGGATGTCCCATTAACAAATTAGCACGCGACACGCCATATAGATAAAAGCATCATTACTATTCGCGTCTTATCTGCATTCGTTTGACCATAAAAGACTGTAACCAAACTCTCTTTCAAAAATAGTTATATAACGTCAAAATAATAAAAATTTAAGAGACTCAAAAAGTGTTTTTAAAGTGAAGTGAAATATTTGCTTAATCATCAAATATTCTTACCTATAAATTACCTATATATTCTATAAATTATCATATTTTAATAATAAAACAGTACATTTTTAAAAAAGAAAAAACTAATAGATCCAATTATTTTGACATTTTTTTATAGGAAGAACTTTTCTTTTAATTTGTTTGCATTAAAATCACGGAAGTGTTACATTAAATAAAAATTTGCTTATCGCTCTTTTGGCAGAACTGTAAGATTAAGTCTTATCTGGATACGCACCGTTAAAGATATTACGATATAGTAATAGAATGTGATTTATTTTGAGTGAACAGCTATTTATTATAATTCACGTAGTAAGTATAAAATATGAGAGGTTAGCAACAGCGCAAATAGTTTCTTTATAATTCATAGGGTTTATCACACGAGTTATGTCTTCCATAGAAAAAAAAATTGTTTTGATAAATTATATCATATTAGTCCGGGTATATTGGATACACGTTATGTTTATTACGTACATTTGAGATTTGCGAGCCGAACGACTCCCTCGTACTTCGTACTTTCTGCATGTCATATTAAAGTATGAAAATCAATATTCCTTAATGAATATCGGCTACTACCTACTTGTACATTAATGCGATCAAATGTCGTGTAACGAGTTATCGAAGTTCTCGACCGATCGAGATGCGATAACGAGAAGATATGCAACTCAATTACCGGAGATTAAAAATTGATATAAAGCTTGATAAGCGCTGCATATATAATAGAGGGATACCTTTTTTATATTTCTTTTCATTATTTCTTTAACTAGGCAAAGTATAATGCCAATTTGAACTATCGTAAGCTTCAATTACCTCAAATAAAGTTAATAAAAAATTAAATAAAAAATAAAATATTATGTTAAGTTTATTTTCTATATCTACTAAACTCTAAGCTGAACGTACTAAGTAAATTATTTCCCGAACAATATTTATCTGAAAAACAATTTTTACATCTTTGTCATAATTATAATTAAATATATGTATTTGGAGGTATAATATCCGCGTTCAACAATATCTTTTTACTTCTCACTATTCGATCGTGATAGGCGTTGCGAGTTTATATCATGGTCAACGTAATCACTGTTATTTCAACGTGAACGGTAATGCTCCGGCTTAAAGTCGCTCTACTTATACGTATTATCTCTCGGCAAAGGCAATACATGAAGAGCGAGGCAGAACGAGAGAGCCGGGCAATCATCGTTTTCAAGCGTCATTATGAAATTGCTTTGGCAAATGAAATGCGCGGTTATGCGCGCGCATACGCTCAAATTGAGATTTATTGGAAAATCGAAAATATGTTTTCCTACTCCTCCTGTCTCCGCCCAGTAACGGATCCGTCCGACGTTCCGGTGCATCGTGGGGCTGTATCGCCCACGCGGTGCATCGGCTTACACGAGACGGCCGCGTGCATGCAATTACGCGGGCTGATTCGAGGGAGACTCGAGAAATCGTTTCGCCGGGGGTCAAAATTGTTTCATTTTTCGCCTGCACGTACTCTCTTTCATCATGTGTCGAAAAAAGCATCGAGAGATGGAAGACACACACAACACACACACAAACAGACAAAAGGAAACATTCTAGTGAAATTACTAATCTACTGAAAGTTCAAGTACTGCAGTATAGTGTTTTATTCCCAGTGAAAACCTGTTTTTTAAACAAATCTTTAAAGTTGGATCTAGCTTGGATTCACTCAATTACAAATCCCTTTATTAAAGGTGACAAACGATTCAATTTTCTTTAGGGTACATCTCTGCAAATTTGGACTATTAAATTATATTAAAATATATTTATTGTTAGTATTAATTCTTTTTTATACGTCATTTTGATTTCTTGAAATTAATTAGTATTTTTTAATTAACATGAATTTTACAAACCCAGCGTTAGTAATTGTGTTACAGATTTTTTGACATCAGCTCCGAAAAGTTAAATAATGATTTTTGTGATTATAATAGACACACACAAACGTATACACTCTTTAAAAGACACAAGATAATAATATTTTATACTCTCACATTTTATACTTGTTACGTGAATTACAAATGTTCATGCCTACTTAATATAAATCACATTCTATCACTATATCTTATGTAATATAACAAATTAAAACAAAGTGAGACTACGAGAATCAGGCGCAATAAAAAGTGTGCAGATTAAAATTTTTTAAATAAGTTACATTTACTCAGTCAAGACAATTATGTGCCTATTTAAAATCTTACATTTTACTTGTATGTTTCGACTTTAATATTTGAGCTCTTTAGCGACAAAAAAATAAAGCATACAGCATAAGATTTGCATTTGAGGAGACGCTATTAGCGCTATTTATATCATTCTATCCTTGTTTTACGTCTAATAAACAATGAAGATAGAATGACACAAATAGTGCTAATAGTACTTTCTCGAACGCACCTGTTGTGTTAAATACTGTTTACATGATATAATTCATGGCACAAATTTAACTTTATAGTTTTTCCAAAAGAACGATTTACAAATTTTTACCTTTATATAAGTGCTATATGACAAAATTCATATAATAATTTCTTATCCTCGCGCGATAACGACACAGCGACAGATGCGTTTGACATGCATAAATCGATTGATCTTAGAACCCACTGCAATAATCTCACCGGGATGGTCATCAAACCACCTTTGTGCAACGTACGTATTAACTGAATCACGCCACTGTCTATGGCAAACGAGATCGAGATTGTAAAGGCAATCGATCGCGAGGAGATAAAGGGCAACTCAGCTCGCTCGACCGCTCCTCATCGTCAATACCTCTCGGAACTCGCCGACTCTACGATCGATCGATCAAGCAGCGGGTGCCTTCAATTAGTCGGCGTAGTTAATTAATTTGACTCGATCGCAATTTACATAATTAGACACGCCGAGTGCGCCCTTCAGCTCGAAAGCGCCGTAATTGCCGCATCGAATGCGCACGCTTATGCCGACTGCAACTACGAATGATTACTAAGAGATACTTGCTACCTTCCTGCTTCTGATAGCATGAAACTACTCGACGAATGGATCAAAGTGCGCTGATTGAAACGCACGAAACCGCGGTACATTCCGCGCATGTATAATAAGACGGTGCGGTTAAGTTCGGCGAATTGACAGAGCAAATCCCTGCAAGTATCGTTAATACTATAGCGGCACTTCCTAGGTTACATCGTACGTTTCTATTATACTAATACTTATACTAATATTATACTAATTTGATAATTTAACAAAATTATTTTCAAATCTAGCTAAATTTTCAGATACTTCAGCGAAACTGTTTTTTCCGTAAATCTAATTAACTAGAACGACAACAAGAATATTGGATTAATATTCCAGTTTAATTTATTAAATAGAAAATTGATTCAAAGTAACGGAACAAGTTTCTACTTGATTTTCTTCAACCGTCTATTATTTCTGTTAATCATAATCAATCTATAAACCATATATATAATCATAAAACCATAATTAAAAATATTCAAAGTAATAAATATTCAAAGTAATAATAAATATAAAAATGCAAATTATGAACACATTATAGATAAACTGGTGATGAACTATAATAGAGTTAAAATCTTCGTATGCCAATGAAATAAACTAGAATATTAATTTAATATTCTTATTATTGCTCGATTTTGGCTCTAGTTAATTAAATTTATTCATTTCATTTTTTTTTTAATAAACGAACATTGCTGTAGTTCGTTCTTTCCATTTTGTAATTGGTAATTTAAAGCATAATTATTAACAAAGAGGTATGTTAAAAATTAAAAAGTATAGAAGACTTTTAAAGTACCATTCTGTCAAATATTATTTTAAAAAAGTATTATTAGAATTCATTGCTAATTTTTATATCTATCACATGTAAATCAATCTTTAATTTTGTTAATTACATGAAAATTGTTATAGTCAAAGACAATGCACATGTCATCTCTATTTCCTTTTTCACATACACGTCTGTCGAAAGGAAAGAAAAAAAGAAAGAAAGGAGGGAAGGAAATGTCGCCAAAACTAACATATCTAATTCCCGTCATTCATCATCTGTCGAGACTCGTCGATTTTTCATAAAATACTCCGCTCCGTTCGTCACAAAGCGCGGACGTGGCGCGTTTGAGAACTTACCCGCTAACGAAAGACGACAATTCCTACGACGTGAGCTGCCCGTTCAGAGTCAGATTTCCGCGGCCGAATTTCCCCGACGTGTTTCCCGGGGGCTTGGTGATTCTCCGACGACAAAGGGCAAGTCCGAAGCGAATACTTTGCGTCCGCATGGTAGAACTCGAAGAAACGTGCTCGGCTGATGCGTACCTGGAACTTTTCAAGATATACTTCCGCATAAAGAGCTTTTCACGCTGACAATGCGACACCGTCGACACAATGAGATCAGTATACTATGTCTGAAGGGGGCGGATGTTGCATCGTATATAAACCGCGGCATTAAAACGTCTGTAAGGCTCTGTGGAAAAATAGAGCGAGGCACGAAAGGTCGATCGATTCATGGCGCAGTTGAATAAAGAATTGTATAGTTAAACCATAAACAGAGTGCCAAATTACTCTTTGTAATGACAGTATTGTAGTGAGTATTAATAAAAATCTCATACATATGTGTGAATAATAAATTACAACAAATGGGAAAGCGTGGGTAAAACTTTATGCGTAAATGACTTAAATTTTATAAACTTTTCTTTTCAAAAGAACGTAATATATAAATTGTCGTGTTTGTATACACAGTTTGAAATATACTGATAAATAAAAAGATTTTAAAGAAATTTTTTTAAATTATTGAGGGAAATAACAATTTAGTTGTAAGAGTCTAAAGACCGGAGCACACATCTTTGCATAACGCATAATGCATAAAGCATAAGAGAATCAATCAATCAGAATCTTTCCTTTTATGAAATGAAGGATTCCATTTGATTGATTCTCTTATGTTTTATGCATTATGCGTTATACAAAAGTCATCTGTGCTCCAGCCTTAAGATGTGTAACATTTGTTTCTTCTTTTCAATTTAATCCTTATCTTATATGATAAAAATAACCGACTGTGCGAAATAATTCACACAATCTAGATCGATTTAACATTAAAGTTAATACAATCAAAGAAATTATAAAAAAAAAATTTGTATATAAATTATAATATCTAAAAAAAATAATGTTTTATAGTTTAAATATAAAATATTAATCTTGTAAATTAAAGATATAATTAATTTATTAAAACTATCAAAAAAATATTTTTTGTAATATATCTTTTTTTAATCTTCAAAATTAATATTCTATATGAACTACTTTTTGTCTCTCTCTATTTAAAGAGATGCATATGTGCAGTCGATTGACGTATTCGGCGTGAAATGAATTTGTAAAATGCACTGGATGCATTATGGATGCCGTGCGGCGATCATAAGACTAATTTTTCAAATATCTTCTGTACATTTATTATAGTTTCTTAAGATATGGTAATTTTATCAAGCAATTCAATAATTTTTTACTAGATGCTAATAAACATTTAATAAGGATATATTATTTGATGTTAATAATCTGAAAAATTGCTATAAGAAGTTGATCTTTATGTAGACTACTATCGGCTATATGGTTAATGCAGTATCATTTTTTTGCATGTAAGTAAGAAAAGAAAACTGATATCGCGTAAATACTATTTCGTTTTCCTGTATTTTAAAATCTTCTCTCGAACTTGTGGTCGAACCACAAAGCAGCCATGCTCGCAGCATCGCAATATTTTTCAGTACCGCACATTTTTATCACTCGACTACGAGCACAATGAAATATCGACGACGTAACGTAAGCATGCACATAAGTTACTGCGTGTGCTCTGGCGGTAATCGTGAGCCCCGCGGTCATACGAAGAATTATTTGACAAGTAAATCGTCGCTGAGAGACGCACGTGTCACGGTCAAGAGCTGCATCCTGGTCATTTCTAGATTCGACCAATTTGCAGTTGAGAAAAAGCAACGACTTGCAAGAGATCTGACTGAATAAATATTTATACTAGCTAAATATAAATATACAAGGAAATCCTCGTAATATCTTTCATGATCAAATTATTAAAATCCGGAAAAACAATATTTCCCGAAATATATTAGGTGTTGGAATTAATTCGTAGCGTTTTTTAATGAAAGAATGTTATTTATTTCACATGAGCATTAAAAAATACATTAATGAAAGTACTTCCCATCACTTGTAAAACGCTACGAATTAATTCCAACACCTAATAATATTATAATATCGAATATACAAATGCTCAACTAAATATTATATTTTAATATTTAGCGCGCAATACAGAAGATTGTACGCTGTATAATAAGAAAAAGTTATGCAAATCAATTGATAATAAGTCTGTCGGCGCTATGACACACTCATGTTGAATCGATGGACGATTGAGCGCAATTCTATAGGATGGGAGTGCCGGTTCCGAACTCTTGCAACGGAAAAGGCGCATCCTGTATCTTGTCAACTGACAGTTGAAAATATACCGGGTGCCCAATCGAGTACTTAGGACTTTTCTCCATGCTTGTCGTTTTTGTCGATTATCTTATAAAAACTTAATATCTACTAGAAAGTAAGTTTACAATTATTTATTTTGAGTATTAACAGTTAAAAACTCTAAACAATGCTATTAATATTCAAAATAAGTAATTAATTACTATATTTTAGTATTACATTGGATTTTTCTAAAAATAATGTTTCCTCTATCTTGACGAAATTATTTTTTTAAAAGTAGCAAGAAAAAAATTAAGTTTCAAAATAAATAGTTAATTACTACATTTCGGTATTAAATTGGATAATGAATGTTTGTTAATCTATCAATGATATTATTTTTTGAAGAGTACCAAGAAAAAATTAAATTTAGATTGTGAGACACACACACGTGCGAAAAAATGATAAAAAATTATTAAATTTGAGACTTATTATAAATGAATTAATTAAATTATAAATGAATTAATTATGTAAAAATTTATACTGCTATTTTCCATGTCCTCTGTATATAAAAATATATTATTTCATATAAGAGAATTACATATTCCAAATTAATTACCCTATTCCAAATAAATTCTAATAAAGAACTAAAAGAGATCTAGCTGCACTCTTTGTACCACGTTAATAACAGCGTGTTTTTTTCTCGGGGTTCTATGTGCTCAAATAATACAAAAAAATAATTAAAAAAGAAAGATACCTTTACTTTAATATATTTTCTGTACAGCTCTATCGCATAGTTGGAAACGGTCAATATTTTAATAAAAACATATACTAACTAGCAATTCAATTACTAATTGTAATGAGTACTTAAGAAATATTTCTCAATTTATCTATTCTATTGTCAGTTAAAAAAAATAACAAATTAGTATAAAAAACCTACACCTTTATAAAATATTAAATTACTTTTAATCAATTATCAATTAATTATCAAGAAATTATTATAATAGTAAATATTTTAATGAGTAAAAATAATAGAAATTTCACGGAAATCTCACTCTTTTTTCTTAGAGTTTACCTTGAAAATTTGATAGTCATGAGACAACATTGTATTTTCAAGAATTTTAATGTAAATCTCTCTCAATCATTAATATACTACAATACAGTATAAAATAAGTTTAATTAATTTTGTTGAAGTGTTTGATAAAAATTTTTTTAATATTATATTGTATCACAACTACACTGAGAAAAAAATAATCTAAGTTTAAATAAATATTTATTTAAATACTCTCAACTAAACATTTACTTACAACAAATAAATATTTATTTAATAAAAAGAAGTGATTGTTAAATCAAATTAACGTTTTTTATACTAAATAAATATATTTTTATATTTAATAAATATTTAGCTGGTACTATTCAAATGAACATTTATTGAAATTTAGGATATTTTTTCTCAGTGTACCATTTTCGAGATAAATTTTAAAACAAAATTCTCTCCGTACACAAACACAGATTTTAAAAATTGCGTATGATCCGAAATGAAAGTGTTATCATCGTATTAATTTAAAAAATTGCAAGAAAAGAGTTTGTCAGTTTTGTTTTAAGCACCATTGATTCTACACCGCGTTATGTTTAATCGATGTCGTAACAAGACATACGTGATAATATATTCGGTGATGCGTGTACGCGCGTTCGAGGAACGGCCGCGTGCACGTTCCACGTGACATAGCAAATAGGTCGCAGCGATTCCATCATCGGATGCAGATAAAAAATTTATCCACCCACGGGATAGGTTCAGTCTAACAGTGTCTAAGCGCGCCCTTCGAACGGCAAAGTATATGCATCGTTTTTCCCATGTAACCAAACCCCGATGATATCGCATTAACTTGCTCATTAAATAGATTACGAGTAGCACAGGGATGGTACGTTACTCGACAATCGACTGATACTTGATAATCGTACGACGGTACTAATGCAATTACCCGAGACTTGTATAGGAAAGAGGAAAAGAAGTTTGTCAATAGGTAGATGATAAGCTATATAGCCTTAAGGCGTTTATGTTAAACTAATAATATTGGAACGACTTGTTCTTTAATAATGTTTAAAAAGATATATATGGAAAGAACAATTTTGCTGAAATATCTAAAAATTTAGCTAGATACAGATCTGAAAATAATTTTGTTACATTATTAAAATAATTAAGTAAGAAATTCAAGCATGATGATTATAATGAATAATGCTGCAAAAAAGTTCAATATTGTAGCAATCAACTTGAGTGTCCTACATAATTATTTTACACAACGATAGTCCAATAAAATTATTTTCAGACCTAATTAATTAAATTAATTAAATTTTTATCAGACTTAATTTATAAATATTTTAAGATTATATTTTTAGGTACTTCAGCAAAACTGTTCCTCTTGTATATAATTCAAATCTATTCCCATGCTGATAAAGAGAATATATTTCCCAGCTGTCGAATTACATATTTTCTTTTTTCATTTTTTAAATTATAACAAGAAAGCTTAATGTCGATTCTTCAAGTTTCAAATATCAAATCTCATCTCGAGTAATGTAATGTAGTAACCGTGCGTTCAAAATATATCAAAATCATATCGGTGTAAAGATCCCATGTGGATCCCAAGATTAGACGACCACCATGAGATGGTGACGTCATGGATGCACGCGTGTTCGTTTGTCTGTTACACGCAACGTGTCAACGAGGTCACGGCAGTTCAATTACCGTCGAGATGGAGGCAAGATCAATCCTCCCATGGGGTAGGTCGGCACCATGGGGCGCATTTGACAAAAGAAAAAATTCTTCTGGGGAAGAAGTCGGAAGATACAACACAGAGAAATTGAGAGAGTAGTTTTAATGCATGATCGAAGTATTGTTGCAACATTTTTACACGAAAAGAACGGTTTTGCTGAAGTATCTAAAAATTTGATTAGACAAATCTGAAAATAATTTTATAGATCATCAAAATAATTATGCAAAACACTCAAGTTGGTTGCTGGAATGTACAAAACTTTTTGCAGCCTTATCATCATGCTTGAGTGCTCTAATTCTTTTAATAATTCAACAAAATTATTTTCAAACCTGTGTCTAGTATATTATTAAATACTTCAGCAAAATCATTCTTTTCGTATACGTGGATTAAACGTAGAGCACTTTTCTTCAAGTATTTCAAAAAATTAATACAGAAAGTAAAGGAAGAATGTTTGTGTTTTTTGTCTGTCGCTTAAAATTAATGTTATATCGAAGATATTAATAAAGAACTTCACACAAACTGTTGTACCTTGTTAATAAATTTAAGTATTAATGACTCTGAAGATCCGTTTGATTTCTAGAATATATAATACTTACGCAAGAAATACTCTTAATAATAAATTAATTCAGTAGTTTTTATAACTAAGTACTACAATCTTGATTAAAACTTTCATATTTAAAAACAGATTATTTAGAAAAAATTATCTTCACATTTATACCCACAAACATCACTCAAAATTCTAAACAAAGTCGCAGTCGCGAATATATTCATTCATTTTGCCTTAAAAATTTAATCAAGTAATTAAATTATGGTATACTTTAACGATATTTCAATAAAGAAAATTTTTATTGTAAAACTACTATTTTTCTCGTGATTGAAATATTCAAACAGTAGTATTACAAAATTCAACAAACTCATTTAAAAGTACATTAAAAAGTCGTCGATATCTTGTAAATTTTTCAGAAAATCGCGTCCAAAGCTTCAACAAATAAAAAATAAAAAAAATCAAATAAGTTATAAATCATGAGCTCTGCTACTAGAGAGGAAAGATTAAGTGAAGATAAGTATGGTGGAATCAAAATCTATTCGGTTTCAAAGCGAGGCTCATATATTATTTGTAATTTCTTTCTAATAATTTGTAAGTCCGTTTATCCCATAGCAACAATGATTCTTTGCTCAAACGTATGCTTAGAAATTTGTCGAATGTGTGTTGTACTTTTTAGGATCGGTATTATGTTGTATTGAATAACCGAAGATATATTGTTGTCCCGTCGCATTCTCAAGAGCTGGTACTTCCAATACTGCTGCGCCCTTCACTCAGCCCATGAGGTATTGTAAACCCTAGAATAGATCAATCAGTGAACACGGGTCCTCACTAATAGACCGATTGAAGCCAGCCAGTTTTGACAGGCATCCAGAGACAGGCATCTCTCTCATTGAGGCATATAAATATTTTAACGTGCTTGAAACGTATTCAAATTCGATGTCATATCAAAAGATTTATTGGAAAATTTTTTATTTGACAATTATATACGTGTATCTCGACAATTATATTTCCGATTAAGGAAGTGACAACCATTGAGATATTTTACCTATTGCTGCTTATTACCTATTTGTTTATTTCTTTTTATTTTAACAGATATTGTCAATATTCGAGGTGAGAAATCTACTCGAACAACAAGTCGTCATAATATCAAAATGACATTTACTTTAATAACTCCAAAATATCATTTACAGTTCATTTTAACTTAGGCATCTATCATGGAACAAAATTGGAATGGATTCCGATCGAAATTATTCAATCATTCACTAGATTTCTATTGTGTTTTCTGGCGAAAACGGAATAATTCCGATCGGAATCCATTCCGACTTTATTCCATAATATTATAGATGCCTTGATATTTATCTTCTTCACACAAAAATGGCTCCCCCCCCCTCCATTCCTTGTTTAGATACCGAAATTGCACTAATGATAATATGCGCGTTACAATTTTTATAAGTGAAAACGTGATGACTGTATTACAGATTCAGATTATACAATATATTTTACTTACTTTTTTTTTACGATGCAGATCGAATTTTGTAATGAGTCCGTCATTTGTCCGCTAACAGTAGTAGCGGTGAAATCATAAAACTTCAATTTTCGCTACCAGAGTGTGCCACGTAACAGCATCCTGTCGGTTTTTGAATTTCGGTGATTTTCGGAAATGTTCGATGATTTTCGCCGGTCAGACGTCGAGCCGCTATGCCGCGCATGCGTGATTGTTGACTCAGCTGCGTAAAACTTAACCTGAAACTTAATCTTGAATTCTACATTGTATTCGAATTACGATACGAAAAAATGTTCGGCAAATTGATCTCAGGCATATTTCAGTCCTTGCCGTAAATATCAACTTTTATTTCTATAATCAATACTTTTTATAATAATTCCTGTCGATACATATCATATTATTAATCCTAAACACATCCGTTGTCAAGTGTATTTCAACTGATACTTTTTGCCAATTATTTTGTAGATAAGAAACAAATTAAATTATAATATCAAATAATATAAAAGTAATATAAGTTATATAAACATGGTAAACTTACTTGCATTACTTAACCCTTAGTGTACATGATTGGATCAATTTTCTTCTATATTTCTTTTCTTTGAAATATTAGGAAAATCTAGTTAAATAATAATCTTTATTTTTTCTTCTTTTTTTAAATATACAACTTTATAGTTTCTAAAGATGTTAAAATACATAAGAATCATTTAATAATTTTTGTACATTTATAAAAGCGACGAAAATTCATATGATAAGTTGTTCAGAATATGGACATCCTATCATGTGCAATAAAAAACTGAAAAATCATCATGGGTACAAAAGATTAATATAAAACAAACACAACATTGAAGTATTAAAACAAGATATAAGTACATTATATAATAACATCAAATTTTGTTAACATGTTTACAGACGAGCTTCAAACCAACTTTCGTCGACTGTGACTGCGACATCCGTGTGGAACCCATGGGGTTTAACATTTGTGAGAAACAGAATGAGATATCACTTTCCTCATCCTAATGAAAGGAAACGATTAAAAAAACATGGCTGGGTTGCGAGGCTGTCGACACCAAATGGTAGAAAAATTCTCCAAAGAAGAATCTTAAAGGGCAAACATGTACTATCTCATTGATTATTATGTTATCTGATTGATTAAATGTACGAAAATGCACGCAAAGAAATAAATGTTTTCAATTTAATTAAAATCTTTTTTATTACAAATAAAATACTTAGCGAGAGGTACTATGTGAGTTAATTACCATCATGTGCATTCATGTAAACTAACTCTTCTTCATTAGCTTCATTGCTGGAATTCCTGATTTCATCAGGTATTTTAAACTTAAGCTGCTTGCAAGTCCAATCGAACGGATCCATCAAAGGGGCTTCTATTACTAGATCTTTTTTTTCTTTGCCTACAATTAAGTGTACACTTTTCAAATGTATGTGTACTGGAATAATTTCTTGTTGACTTGGTTTTATATTTAATAGCTCTAGTAGTTGTCGATTTATTTTTGGTAAATCCCAACTGGAATCAGCAAATGGATCGATTTTTAACCATGTACCCATGATTTCTTGGATTCGTGATCCATGAATATTATCTCCAAGAATCGGACTGTATAGCATAGTGGAAGCAAATAATCTGATATTATGCCATTTTCTTGAGGACGCCACAATTTCTATTAGCGAACTTAAATTATGCATCGAATTGCTTACGACTTTATAATCTATATTTATTATTTTGGTTTCATTTCTCTTTACCGCGTTGTTACTCCACTGAGTCAAGATAATAGGCTGAAATGCACATGTGATTGTTACCCCAATATTAATTATTTCGCGAAAATATATATATGGAGGTATACCTTTTTATTTCCTGATGCAGACGTTTTTAAAAACATTGCTAAACGATGTTTTCCTTTGATCTCGTTTGGAACTCTAGTTGTGATTACCCAATATTTCCTGTATCTATTTTGAATTCGTCTTCTTGATAGTTCTAATTGTTGGCACACTTTTTCGTTAATTCCAAAAATATATACGCCGCTCACATATCTACAAATAAAGTAAAATTAGAAGTAAATAAATAAAATGTTTTTTTTTTTTTAGAGAAAAAGAAAGAAAGGAGAGATTGAGGATGATATACTTCTCTGCTCCAAAAGATGGTATTAATATTGGTACATTTAACTCCTTTGCAAGATATGGCAAAACATCTTGTAAAGAATAATCTGCTATTCCTACAATCTTATGATATAAATGTAGATGTGTGTTTGCATTTGACTTTGGATATAAGGATATGCCATATGGTTTGTTTATTGCAATTATTCCATCTGCAAAAAAGTATTCGTAAATTAATATTCAAATGTATCACTTTTATCAGCTAGTAAACAAAGCTAAGTAAAACAAAAATATATATATAAATATATTTTATTTCTAATCAATATTATATACAACTTTACAACGATATAATATAATAATCTCTTTTAATATTCTTTTTAATATCCTTTTTAATATAACTCAAAATTTCTTATTATAAATAATGAAACTCCTCTATATGCAATACAAAAAAACTAACTCTGATGATAAAAGGAAACTATCATACTTAAAATAATCTAAGCAAATAGATTGACTATAGTTTAATGTTTCTTGAATTTCAATATTAATATAACTCCTCTAGAACTGGTAGTGTATATTAGAATGATTTAATTATAAATCTCTTTGTTACTGCTAGATTGTTATTCAATGTTCTGATGGTGGGAATCCAAACATGCCCCAAGATCTGCAAAATATCTCTCCCTAGTATCTTTTCTTCTATTTTCTTCTATATTTCCTTTAAATTTAGCAGATTATCAGATACTGTGAAGTGACTATTAATTTTTCATGATTTGAAGAGTTTCAGTATGATTTTCATTTATACTTTTCATTCAGAAAAGCAAGAATTATTTTGTGTAAATCAAAATAATATTTTGAATAGACTAATTATAAAAATAATTCTTTTCAAGAAATGTTTGACTTGATCAGCCTCCAAGATTTGAAAAGAATTAACATCTTATTTGAAATACCTGATCTTGAATTATCTAAAAATGCATAAGCAAAGACAGGAAAATACAATACTACTCAAAAATTTCAAGTTTTTGTGTCTTGAATATGTCAACATCCTAGGTAGTTATTGTTTGAACAACAAAGTTTTTGACGAATAAAAATAATTCAACTTTCTCTGTAAAGTAATGTTACGATAAAAAATATATTTTAATTTCATTAATTCTTAACTTTTGTATCTATTAACATGTTAATTACAATTTTACAGCAAAATGACAAATATTTCCTTCATGTTGCAATTTTGGATTATTTGTATTAAAATATACTTATTCTGTATTCTTTTTTATATAATCATACATTTTGGTTCTTCGAAATTAATTAGTACCTCTTTCAACATAAATTATTAGGTGTTGGAATTAATTCGTAGCGTTTTTAATGAAAGAATGTTATTTATTTCACATGAACATTAAAAAATACATTAATGAAAGTACTTCCCATCACTTGTAAAACGCTACGAATTAATTCCAACACCTAATAAATATCTCATAGTGATTCAGCGTCAGTAACTAATATTACAGATTTTGACATCAACTCCAGAAGATGAATGGCCATTAAAAATAAACATCGTTTAATAATCACAATACTGTAAGATTATATTAAAAAGAAGATCGCTAACTTTTACAAAATGATAAAAGAAAATTTTTGTATTAAAATAATATATGCAAGTAATATAACTGAAATAACATTTTTAATTATAATATTAACGATTATTGCAAATAAACATTGTTTAACGGTCACGATAATGCTAAAATTACAAAATTACAAAAAACAAGGATTTTATTAACTTTCAAAAAATGGAGCAATGATAGGATCTGTTTTTTTTTATAGCTGATAGCTATAGTATAAACTTTTGGAACTTAAAGTGTTAGGTATACATTTAATATTTGGCAAAAATAAAAGTTCTAGTGCAGTTAGTACAGGAATGAGAAACAGACCTATAAAATTCATCAGTCTTATAATAATGAAAATAGCTATATTAATCTTGCTGGAAAATACTGTTACATTAATCCTAGATATACATTAATTTCTCTACCTGAATTGTAAATAACGTTCTTCAGCAAATCCTTCGCAAATTCAATCTCCGATTTCCACGGATGAATTCGGTTATACGGATGGATCACCTTCTGTATCGTCGTCGTCGTCGTCGTATCATTCTCTGTGGTATAATATTTCCTATAGCATGTGCGAAACGCCACTGCGAACTCGTTGGTCCGCATCCTTCTGAATACTGTCATTGCACTCTTCATTTCTTCCCGACTGAGATTTATAAAATTCAAGTCGTTTCTTTACGAATTTTACCTCTGTATCTTCAGCAGACACAGCTCTTCAATTTGAGGTTAAACTCGACGCAACCGCATGTAATATCACTAACTATAAAAACGACATGGAATTAATTATTTAAGAACAAGCAATACTTTTATTTATCATTAGTTTCAGTAAATTAGGGACTAGTTTTAGCTTTCATTTACAAAAATCAACAATTTACTTACTAAACTGATAACTGTATTGTAATTCTAAGACGGATTCTCAAATTTTAGAATATTTTGGATCCCAGGCGACCCGGCATTTCTTGTGAGAAGAACCAATCGTTCGTACACTAGCGCCAATATCCATTTTCTATTCGGAAACTATGTAGCCATTTACTGGCGATAAAATCGCAGTGTGCATGATGGAATTGATAACACCAGAAAAAACATAATATAAAATAATTAATAAAATAAATAAGACTGAATATAATATACAGGGTGATCCAGACCAGCCGTAAGAGCCGGCATGTACGCATTGTCTATAAATGTATGAATTGAAAAGTTCTCTACTATAATTATTTTACAATTTCCGCAATTATATTTTTTTAGTTACCAATAAGTAGAATGTTTAAAATCGACGCATAAGACAACTTTAGAATTTTTTAAGAAATCTTATTGAAATATTTCATAAAAAACTTTGAAACATACTATCTTAATCAATGTTGTCTTATATACTGATTTACCCGTTTATTCGGTAATTTTTAGAAATTATGTAAGCAGAGAGAAATCTGAGAGAGAACATGACGGCCCAAAACCTGTAAACCGCAAAATGCTGTCGCGCACTACTGCGCTCTCCAAAGTGGATGTAAACTACATAGCAACGTCCACTTTTCTTAGGGTACATTGTCCATTTTTCAAGGCTGGAGATGATATATATTATATGATATATTATATCACCGACGAAATATGAAAGACCGTCAACCCTGGACAAATTTTCGATGGTATAAAAAGGGCCCGAAGGTAATTGAAAAACGCTGATATTATCGACAATTGATATAAATTTGCTATTATTAACATAAATTTGATTTATGCATTATTAATTATAAGTTCAGGATTTCTTATTATATAAATGTTCCATAAATAAATGTGCATACTTGTAAAGCTATAATATCCAATATATTGCAGAAAAATTACAATTTTTTTCTCTGCAGTTATCATTTCTATTGGTAATCAAACTTTGATGATAACACTGAAATCACAATTTAAAAAAAAATCGAGTATTATTGAATTCTAAATGCATAAATATGTCTACTAAACTAATAAATTATAAAATTAATACAATATTATCAGTTTCTAACTCTTAATCACTTCAATATTCTCAAGGAAGCGAACTCCCATAAGAATGTCGGTCTTTAATAGTATCTCTCGGTGATTATATGAAATTTTTGCAGGTAAGTATATCTTTAATTTATTTTTTATTTTTATGTCTAATTATTTTATTGTATTTCGCTAACGAAATTGCAATAACTTTTTAAATAATATTCTTTATTGTATTATATATTTATTGTATTTTTATACAATTCGATGTTACAATTATAATAATTATTTACAATACAATATACCATGCAGGCTGCGTTCAGAGAAAGTAGATTTTCGATTGTTGTAAAATTCCTCATTACGATTGGTTCTTGCTTTTCGTTTCTTATGAATTTAAATGTACAAACCAATCACATAGAAGAATTTTACAATAGTTGCAAAGCTGCTTTCTCTGCTGAACGCAGCTAATATCTAATCATATATCCTATCGCATATTAATAAACTCAGAGGGATAACCTAATCGCGATCATACTAATAATAAATAAGCAATAAGCAATAACTAAAACAAGCTCTTTCAATCTTTAAAATACAAAAAATTAATAAATAACAGGGCTAATAAGAGTCAACGCGGATAATTAAGCACAAGTTTTATAGATTTTTTTAATCTCCCAAATTTGCACTTGATTATCCGTGCTGTCTCTCATTAGCTCTATTGTTTGTTGATTTTTTTTTGTATTTTAAATAATTCTCAAAAAATATAAGAACTCGCAATTTGCGAGCAAATTACCCTCCCGAATATTCAGTTTATCTTTTATAAACTTTTATAAACTTAGATTGGTGTCACACAATCAATCTACCTCTCAATGAGCAGAATTTAAAATTAACGCATAAGACAAATTTAAGATATCTTTAAGATATCTTTAAGAATTCTTTAAGAAACATCTTAAAGATATTTTATAAAGAATTCTGAAAGATATCTTAAAGTTGTTTTATGCGTCGATTTTAGACATTCTGCTCATTGGGCTCGTAAAGAGATTCTTTTCTTTCTTCTGGCCAGATTGAACTCACCTTTCGTTGCTCCTGGCCAACATTCTGGCTTCATGAGCCAAAAATCGACAACAAGGAGAAATACTCCTTTTTGCTGCCGACTGCTGCCGACTAATATCGCCGGCAATAAGCGTAAGACTTTACGCTTCTGTATGATGCACGGAACACGAACGCGTCGCGAAGAGGCCATCGTATTAATAAATAGACTAAATATTAATATAAACAATTATCATTAATAATAATAATAAGAATTCTATTAATATACAAATAAATTTTGCGTTTATTTTCTATTCGCGTTTATTCAAAATCAAAAATATAAATATTCGACTAAATATAAATCTAAATTTAAAAAATCTTCACGTCAATAACGTTTTTATATCAAAAGTTTCGAATATTACAAAACTAAATTAAATTAATGTAAATTTTATAATGTAATCAAAAAGATTTATTTAAAAATAAATGACTGAAAATTACTAAATCGATTATCATCCGATAAAATTCAAGGCCCATGTACGTATTTTTAATTCGAACGATACGTTGCTGAATCTCATCTCAAAACATGCGAAGATGAGAAATTCAGATGAATGATGTAAGATCCGAAAGGGATAATTTTTCCTCACTTCAATAAATATATTCCTATCGTATTTTATATATTATTAAAATCATTTTTTGAATAATTTATTATTTCAAAATTAAGTATTTTAAGTCATGCAAAACTCTGAACGCAATTTTAAAATAGTTATAAGATAAAATTCTTATATTTTTTGTATTTTCTTATATTTTATATTTTTTGATAAAATGTATATTGGATCTTACATCATGTTACTGCTTTAACTGATATAAAATCCAGTTACTACATATGGATAAGTTATAAAAGATTAAGCTAAAGTAAGTGCATTGAGATAATAATAATAATTAATAAACGTAAAATGTCTTTTACAGAAAAGCGAGATTAATAAATTACGTGCTCTACATTACAATTTTTGTCATTTCATTAGTAAGACGTATACAAATAAGTGTGGAAAAAAAGGAATTTCTTAGAAAACAGTTCATTATAGATATATGTGTACCTATACGTATATGTGTACATATACGTATAATATATAGACATTGCTTTTCTGCACTAACTTGTATAAAACTTAATCCTGAATGAATATTTGAGGATAGGATAGATAGGAAAAATAAGAAAACAATATTTATTAAACTGTAATAAACACTTTTTTATATAACGGTGTCTATAGAAAATAATTTCATATACTCTAATTTTTATTTTATATAAGCTTTATATTTTTTAATTTCCCGTACTTCATATATTTCAAAAATGCAAATATTTTATCTTTTTTTCGTTTTAATTTCCAAGATGTATTATTTTAATATAAAAAACGATCATCGAAAGAATTCATTTTTTATTATTTTGTTATTAAATTACTTAATAACAAAGCGTTCACATTAACATATGAATTTAGAATTAGTATACAAAATTTGAACTAAATTTAATAATAATTAGAAATAATTTAAAGTGCCCTGATAAAAAATTTTTCATGCATGAATATATATAAATATGTATAAGCATACATAAATATTCATAAGCATGTATAATCATATACGAAATACGTCCATACATGTTCATTCATCTCTTTTTCTTTTGTAAAATTACTTTTTAGTGTAACTGAAATAATAATAGTAATGTGAAAACGTTAAAAATAATTAAAGGGTTAATTTTCGCATTGTTTGTTTCAGGGAAAAAAAACAAGTTTAGAAAAATGTAAAAAAAATTGCTCAAACACAATTATATATAATTTTATATATAATTATATGTAAGTAATTTTTTTACATTTTTCTTCAAATTTGATTTTTTAAAAAACAAATAGTATAAAAATTAAACTTTTAATTATTTTTAATGTTTTCACATTACTATTACTATTTCTATCGCACTAAAAAGTAATTTTACAAAAAAGAGAGAGGGATGTATGAACATGGACATATTTCATGTATGATTATACATGTTTATGGATATTTATGTATATTTATACATATTTATACATATTCATAAATAAAAAACTTTTTACTGAGTGGATGTAACGTGACATTATAAATTTAATAGTGCATGCACAATAAATTCCATATACAATAATAAAGAGATATTCAGGATTAAGTTTATCTCAATCTATTATCACTTATCCATTTCAAGGCAACGGACGTATGAAATGCTATACATATAGTATATCCATATATATTTAATAAATTGATGCGTATGCATCTATAGATATATAGTAATTAATAAAATTACCATACATCCGTTATCCCAATAAAAATATTAATTTATCTCACTCACCAATCCGATGCGCAACAGCGGAGTTATATCAGCAACGTCGCTACGATGATTCTGTAACAAAAAAATAGGAAATTCAAATTAAAACAGAGTCCAAAAAAACAACCAATATTTAAAAAAATATTTACTAAATGCAAAGTTTTTTTGAAAATAAAATCATATAATATTCAAAATATATAATTTTTATAAATATTGAATTTTTTAATTCACCATTCAGTTATATTTATAAAAATAATTTATATACATTTCCTTAATACATTTAATACATTTTCTTAAAAATACATATTTATATAAAGTTTCAAAATAATTTTAAAATAATTCTTTTATTCTAATTATCATTTTTAAGTAATTAAAATGAAATTACTGAAGAATAAATTTAAAAGAAGAAGGATACATAAGTAAAAAATAATATTTACCGCAAGGTTGCTCCGCCGATGCCTGATATCTCTGCCAGATCTCGTCCTCCTCTCAGAATAGGTTGACATCCTCTCGCACAGGACACTCGCGTAAAACACTCGCGAATAATACACTATAATCGCGCGCAGATTATAACTTGAGTCCAATAACTTAAACGACACTCCCGATGCAAACACGCGACGCGACGAACCGGCTGCGGTTTTCAAGTAAATCGGCGGTGAGGATACGTCAGC